TGAGAAAGCGCCACCCCGCCTTCCACAGTGGTTGCACCATTTTACACTCCCACCAATAGTGAATAAGGGTTCCAGTCTCTCCACAACCTTGCCAGCATTAAATCTAGCTTGAACTTCTGCCACTTCTGTCTTTGTACTGTTCTAGCTAGTTTTTTTTAATGATTTTCAGCAGTATTTTGCTTGCATGGGATACTAATGATATTCTTTGATAATTTCCACAGTCTGTTGGATCACTTAAGAATAGGAACAGATTCTACTTAAAAAGCCTAATTTTTTAATGAGCATGATAGACATAGTTCTCAGCCATCCTAGCGTCTCGGTCTATTTTTACTCTATCACACCTCAAAAAGACAACCATGTAGATATACACAGCCTCAGCATACTTTTATGACCACAAATCTCCATAAATACTGTATTATATATGTATAAACTTATATTAGTACACATTTGATATTTCTAATAGATTTTTTTTTAAATGCTGACTGTGTTAAATTGACTTCTTAAAGTTTGAAGAACACTGGAAATGTACTGAGTCTTTTACCACTTTTGACCAAACTACTTAGGATGGTCTTCTGATTGGTTCCCATCTGTTTCAGGTGAATAATATACAGAAAACAATTCTTTCCCAGGATGAGGAGGATAGAGCAGCTGTTTGGCTTCAGGGTGGGGGGAGTTCAATCCCGACTAGTCAGAGAACGGGAAGGCTCACAAAAACCTCGCAAGAACTACTGAGTGGTTTGAGAAATGGTGTTTCCAGCTGAACAGTGGCTGAGCCGCCTCTGCCTGGATTCTGGCTAATGCCTAAATCCAGGAACTCTCTCACTGTCTTGTATCTTGATTCTTGACCTTGACCTAGTAACAGTGCGCAAGCAGGAAAAGAAAGCATTCTCAGAATTCTTCCTAGATGTCTGCGCGCACGTGAGGAATCTGCAACTTGACCTTACCTTTTTGTTTGAATTTGAGGGAGGGAAAAATTTTAAAGGCACCCATTTCTTTTTCCTGGAATACTATGATCATTTAAAAGAAAATGGGAAAATAGTTTTCTTTAATATAAATGCTTAAACTCCACAGTTTAAAAAACAATGCTTAATCTAAAATCTGTTCAATTAATTTGCAGTTACTTGCTGTACAAAAAAACACCCAACAACCCCAAAACTATGTAAATCACCTGTGTATATGTTGTTGTTGTGCCATCGAGTCTCTTGT